TTTTCCCCCTGGCCCAGCGGCTGCCGTTGCATGTTGGAGGGCGGGGGGCGGGGAATGGGACGCGCTGGCGCACGCGACCGGGGGCAACGCTTTGGGTTCGGGCGCGGTGCCTCACCGAACGCCCACGATTTCCAGCCAGCCCTTCTCTCCCAGCGTCCTTAACTGCCTCCTCTGCCGCTCTGCCCTGCAGACGTCTTCACGGAGAACCCCGACGAGAAATCCATCATCACCTACGTGGTGGCGTTTTACCACTACTTCTCCAAGATGAAGGTGCTGGCGGTGGAAGGGAAACGGGTCGGCAAGGTGAGCACGGCGCCCGGGGCTCCGGCCTCCTTGTGCCAGGACCTCCCGTTTCTTCTGGTCAGGCGTCACCCAGCCGGAAGCCTCTGCGGCAGCTCACGGCACTCCCGGGACATATGTACAAGGGATGGGAACCCAGCAGACCCTCCCAAAGCATAGCCCCCAGGAGCTGCATCACAGCCCCTGCTCTGCCGGCATCTCCCAGGCCTGCTCTGCTTTAGGTCAGCGCCGCGTGGCCTGTTCTTCGGTGCAGTCCTGAATCTAAGGGGCCAGGGCTGGTGTGAAGTGTGCACACCGGCTGAAGAGCAAGGGACATATGTACAAGGGATGGGAACCCAGCAGACCCTCCCAAAGCATAGCCCCCAGGAGCTGCATCACAGCCCCTGCTCTGCCGGCATCTCCCAGGCCTGCTCTGCTTTAGGTCAGCGCCGCGTGGCCTGTTCTTCGGTGCAGTCCTGAATCTAAGGGGCCAGGGCTGGTGTGAAGTGTGCACACCGGCTGAAGAGCAAGTCCAGCCCGCGCTGCCCCTGCCCCCGGCACAATCATCGGAGCCTGCCCGGGGGTCCTGCTGGGGTGCTGTCTGGGAGCCTCCTAGGTAGCACCTCCTGGACAGAGCCTCTAGCACCCCACTTCCTCCTACACCCCAACTTCCTGCCCCAGGTCACCACCCAAACCTTCTGCACCCTTCTTCCCCCCAGTACACAATTCCAGCACCTCCCCCGGTCAGAATCCTCTCCTGCACCCATAGCCCCTCCCTGGCCTGGCACCTCAATCTCCTGCCCCAGGTCACCACCCCCTCCTTGAGCCCGCCCCGCCGGCCCCTGTCTGTGGCTGCTCCAGGCCGCTCAAAGCAGCTGGCTGCGCCGTGGGCCTCTGTGCCGCACGCAGGGAGGGGAGATTCCCGCGCTGCATCATCGGAGCCTGCCCGGGGGTCCTGCTGGGGTGCTGTCTGGGAGCCTCCTAGGTAGCACCTCCTGGACAGAGCCTCTAGCACCCCACTTCCTCCTACACCCCAACTTCCTGCCCCAGGTCACCACCCAAACCTTCTGCACCCTTCTTCCCCCCAGTACACAATTCCAGCACCTCCCCCGGTCAGAATCCTCTCCTGCACCCATAGCCCCTCCCTGGCCTGGCACCTCAATCTCCTGCCCCAGGTCACCACCCCCTCCTTCAGCCAAGCCCCCTCTCAGACCTCACGCCGTCTCCGGCACCCAGCCACCTACCCCCAGCTCCCTTCTGCACCCGACCTCCATCCCAGACCCCGCAGACACTCCATAGAAAAGTGCAGCCCTTAACCACTTGCCAAAATCTTGCAGTGCCCCCCCCATCAAAAATTATCACCCACCCCTGCACTAGTCCCTTTGGCCAAGGCCATGAGACAATGAGAGAGAGAGAGAGAGAAAGAGAGAGAGACCCAGCCCAGCTTGGCCCAGGGTCAGGTGTCTGGCCTGTGATGGGTCTGTGATGTGGGGGGGCCCAGTCCTAGCCCAGCCCAGCTCGGCCTGGTGTTCCCGCTGGGCACCTCCCTGGGCAGACACCCAGAGGGGTCCCCGGCCATGCAGACACTCAGACGCTGTGGTGGCATCAGCCGGCTGAGAGCATCGCTCTCCTCTGCTTGTTGAAGGTGATGGACCACTTGATGGAGATGGAGCGGATGATCGAGCGCTACGGAGGGCTGGCCTCCGACCTGCTGACCTGGATCGAGCAAACCATCACTGTGCTCAACAGCCGCAAGTTTGCCAACTCCCTGAGCGGGGTGCAGCAGCAGCTGCAGTGTTTCAGCACCTACCGCACTGTGGAAAAGCCCCCCAAGTAAGCAGCCCTCGGGTCAGGTGCCGGCTCCGCTGTACTCGCCGTCCCCGCTGGCCTTACGGCACTTTTCATCCGCCAAGCTCAGTGAGCTTCGCAAAGGAGCCAGCGTTAGCTGTGCGGTTGGGGAAACTGAGGCGTGGAGCAGCCATGACTCACCCATGGTTGCAGCACAAGATGGGTGGCAGAGCCGGGGACCACACCCAGACTTATGATGCCCTGCCCACTGGACCATGCTGCCTCTCGGGGGCTATGTCTACACTGCCCCTCTCTTGTGCAAAAACATATGCAAATGAGGCGAAGCGTGGAATATCGCCATGCCTCATTTGCATAATTAATGAGGCTCCATTTTTTTGCGCAAACCCCCCCATCTTGCACAAGAGCCGTTCTTCCGGGAATAAAAAGCCTTTTGTGCAAAAACGGCGCCTCGTTAATTATGCAAATGAGGCATGGCGATATTCCACGCTTCGCCTCATTTGCATATGTTTTTGCGGAAAAGGATATAGCGTAGACATAGCCTTAATATCGACTCTTGGCTGAAATGCAGTCCAAAGCCGTGGTTCTCAGCCAGCGTTCCCTCCCATCTCGGTGTGGAATGAATTTTGTGGTGTGCACTAGTATGGAGGTGACGTGTAGCATTACAAAATTCATGTGCTGGGGGTGGAGCCAA